TATGTATATCTAAAATGCACCAACAAAATAAAGTTTTTAAAAAGTACAGCACATTCAATTATGTATACTTGATAGTGGGGAGAAACTATTACCGGTTTATATATTTAATATACATACATATAGTTATCGAATGTATACTTATGTGTATTAAAATTTGCTGTAAAAAGTGTACTGTATTATGCCAGTAGCTGCCTCATGTATCTCATGGTTACTTCATCCATTAATTGCAATGAGAGTCCACATCAGGGATGGACCTAGAACACCTTGGTTGTGTCAGTACACTGTAGGATGTTCTATAATCACAAAATCTCCCAATGACGCGTTTCTCTGAAGAAGTCATAATAATGCAACACATGACTATACAAAAGTCCTTTGTCTCATTTAATATATTATAAACCATAGCCTTGCGATGGCAGCTTAAATGCAGTATTTTGGTTCTCTTCCTGGTCTTCAAGATTTTCTCTTTATGGTTAGTTCTCTGAAGTTTGAGGACAATTTCTCTAGATGTAGATTTATTTGTATTTATATTAATTGATATTTGTAGCACTTCTGTATCTCTTTATAAAAGCTGAGATTGTTATCATCTGTTTCTTCAAATTTACATTTTTCCTTCCCTATTGCCATTATTTTATCCTTCTGAATGTCCAATCACTTGTGCTATTTATCCTTTTGGCGTTGTTTCACAGGACACTAAGTCAGTTTTCAGTTTTTCCTCTCAAAGTACCTTTTATTTAGACTTTGTAACTTAAATGGTTTGTCTTCAGGTTCACTTAGAAATTTCTTCTGGTAACTCCAATCAGCTGGTAAAGTTCATCCAATAGATTATCCATTTCAATTACTTCACCTTTCTTTTGTAGTAATCCCATCTGTTTTCATACTTTCTATTTTACTCCCAAGATTTCCTATTGTTTGGTTCATTAAAATGAAATTTCATTTAAATCTTTGAACATGCACATAATAACTACTTTGTTTTTGCAAAATTTAATATTCGAGCCATGTAGAGGAATTTTTTGAATATCTCATTTCAACAGGATTTCTTTTTTCATATCTGATCCCTTTTCTGTATCCTTCTTTCCTGTTTTATTTTTATTAGTATGTGTTTATAGTATATATTGTTTGCAACTCATCATGGGGAGTTAGTACATTTATAACATACCTTAACTCTTTATATCCTATGGTCCTCCCACCGTTGCTCCTCCTTCCACCTTCTTTCCTCGTAAAAATCTGTCTTCCTGCTTTTTTTTTTACATGTTTTATTCTGCTCTTTATTTATACTTTGGATTTCCATATACAGAAAACCATGCAATATTTAAGCTTCTGTGTTTGATTTATTTCACTTAACATTATCTAAAAGTGCATTCATTTTCCTACAAATGACTGCAATTTTTCCTTCTTTAGAGAAAATGTCCTCTACAGAATGTGGTGCCTTTGTGTCTTTTGATCAGTTTTGGCCTAAGTCCACTGTGTCTGAAAATAAGGTAGCTACTCACTTATTTTTGTAGTGGCCTTTGTTGCTGTCTTTAGTTAGTATTGGGTTTTCAGTGATGTACTCCTGGATTGGCTAACTATAGAAGTTTGCCTCTGTCCCAAGATCCAACAACCCTCATTAATTTGGGCAGGAAGGAAATGCAGTGTAATTGGCCCATCATCCAGTTCTCACAAAATAATCTGAAGTATAGTTGGTGGCACAAAGGCAAACCAACTCTTAGCATACAGTAAAAACCAGCAACAATAACTATGCCACATCGGCAACAGAAACAAAATAAGGAAGAATAATACAGTCAATGAGAAATTGAATACTGACATACTATAAGAACCAATAAAATCTACCACTGTACTACCCTCAAACATAGGTGAAATCTGTAATATTAATACACACAAAGACAAACCAAATATTGACATATAGCAAATACCTACTAAATCCAACTTTACCACCACTAACAATAGAACTTAACAATAGCGAAAGTTCAATGAATATTTAAAAATTAATAAAGATTAATAGTAACAATAGTAAAAATGAGAAGATTAGGGAAAAGCAAAATGAAAGATTTGAAAAATTTTTGGAAGATGAGAATAGAAAAGTGAGATAAAGAACCCTATTAAAGGGTAAAAGAAAATCAATAGAATTAAACTAACAGAAAAGAACAACAGTTAAAAAGAACCGAGGACAAATAAAATAGAAAATGAGGAAAATTTCCCCCAAAAGAAACAATGAGGAAAAATAGAAATGAATCCAAACCAAATTCCTACATATTTTTGAACGAGTGATTTCTTTCCAGGTTCTGCAATATTAGAATCTAGCTATGGAGGGAAGTGATAGTGAGTCACTAAGCCTATGTGGTTTCCACACTCAAATTTTCACTTGTGAATGAATTCTAACCCTGCCTTTCCTGCTGGGTTTGGCTGTTCAGTGGCATCCAACCTAGCACTATATTCACTCTATACATTCCATCTGCATTCCTATTCCCCCTAGAACAAACTTTCTCTTCCTGCCTTTACAGCCTGTGGGTTTGCAGTGCCCTCATCCTCCTCCAGAGGACCTGTTGTCAGGGTCTACCACAGGCTGTGGCAACCACGCAAATTCATGTCTCCCTGATCACACTGGCAGATGCAAAGTTCAGACCCTTGAGCTGTGTTGGATACAGGCAACAGGGCAGGGGATCAAGCAGCCACTGGACTTAACACCAGCACATTCAGACCCAGCCCCCTTTAAAAGCCACACATAACCAACTAGGCTTCTTACCAGGGAGTGTGGAATTCCTTCCTGTGCTCTTCACCTGAGCTTAAACCGTCTGTGCCAAGACGGTGCCCTGTGACTCTTGTGCCCATCAACCTCCCAGGCATTATGATAGGGTGGCCCTGGAAGCCCTGCAGTTGTTCTCTATCTTGTTTTTAAACAACCCTTTCCCCAAATGGCTCCAGGTTAAACACTCAAATATTGATGGCACTGGATTTCTTCAACCCTAGACTGACATGTGAAGGGAGTCACTTTGAGAGAAAAGCCCCGAACTGTTTTTGCAGTTTACAATACCTGCGGGCTTTTCTTGGGCCTGGTCTTTTGTTTCTCTCTGGAGATGTGGACTCAGCCTGGGCTTACCTTGTTAGTGGGGACAGGTCCCTACGCTGAAACCAGGATTAATTTTCCACACTGCTTCATTCTTTTCTCTTTCATGCTGCATCTCTCCAGTTTTCCTGTAGTTTCTGCTCTTCCTGGCAGCTCCCACCTGCTTCCTGGAGATCTACTGGTTTTTTTCTTCACCAAGTTTTTATATCCCAGGCATTTTGTTTCCAGATCCCAGAAAAACTGTGTTTTGCTGCTGGTCTTTACTCTGACAGGCTGAGTCTTCCTCTCCACATCTAGTCATCTCTCACCGCATACCTTGCATTGTGAAAGATACATTGCAAAGCATCGATATTGTATTTTCCTCTTATCTCTATTCCAATAGGGATTTTTATTAGTACATTGTAGATGTACACAATGATCACATTATAGGGGATTTGTACCTGCATATGATATAACTTGAGTCCTTTCCTGTTTTCCCCATGCCCTTCAACCATCCTTTCCCTCCAAAATAAAAGCTTTGCTTCTAGTTTTTCCTTCTTGTCTCATGTTTCTTTTCCCTTCCTTCCTTTTCCCCTCCCCCTTCTCACTGGAACATTGTCTTCCTATTTCAGCATATTATACATCTTGGTCCTTATTTACATTTTCGGTTTCTCACACCCGAGAAACAATGTGGTATTTATATGTGTGTCCAATTTATTTCACTTAAGAATATGGTCTCAAGGCGCATTTGTTTAGGTAATGTCTCAAGCTTGTCTTTCTTATGGCACAGCACTCCACTGTATAAAAACCCCACATCTTCTTTATCCATTTCTCTGTTGATGGGAATTTGGTATGTTTCCAAGACTTAGTTGTTACAAACTGCCGCTATAAGCATGGGTATGCATATGTCCCTGTGCTATACTTGTAATTCTTTCAAGAAGATAAAAGAAGAGGAATAACAAGTGCCAGTAAGCATTTAGATTACTGGCTGATTACTTTCAAATTTATATAGGTTTAGACTGGGGATTTAGCTCAGCAACATAAGCACCATAAGCATATATATATATATATATATATATATATATATATATATATATATATGTTTGATTTATACTTCACTAGTGTAGATCTGTAGAAAGCACACGTTCTCTCAATACCTTTTAATTTGGAAGGATTCATCCTCTAAACTCCATTTCCCTTAAGCTTATTGTTGAGGCTTGATATTAACCTCTATTCTGGGTTGTGGATATTTATTTACAGTATGAGGTAAAACAAGGTAAAATGTTTCTGTAACTTAAGCTGCAAATGTGTGTTACAATACTTAAATTTTTTTCCACTCTGTCCATTTCCACAAATATTCATAAGAGTGCTATGAATACCAATTTTGAGGTTAAAAGTAAATTTCAACAAATAAACAAATTTAATAATGGAATCTGTGAATAAATATCCACAATATTTTTCTACGTAAGAAAACATTTTAATGCTTAAAGTAGTTATGGTTTCTTTTGTTTCTTGAGATAAGGTCTATGCAACTCAGGCTGAACTTGAACTCATTATGTAGTCCAGATTGGCCTTAAACACATGTAAATTCTCCTGTCTCAGCCTCTAGAATGCTGGAATTACAGGCATGTGATACTATACCTGGCACAAAGTGGTTGCTTTAATATAACCATTTTGTGGAAAATTCCCTTAAATGTGATAATGTGATTTTCTCCTAAAGAAAGTATAAAGAATAATTTTTCTTACCTCTTCAGGGTCATCATTATAATAATAAAGTAAAAGGCCAGGCATCTCCAATCTTGACCTATGTCATTATGTACAGAGAAAACAAGAGGATCTCCTAGGATCTCCATTGATCTAATGAATCAGTTAAGAGAATTATACAGATTGAAAAAAAACCTGTTACACAAAATAGTCCAAATTTAAAATGTACACAAGGAAATTTATTGTTGACTTATTTATTGAATCAAAATTATACTGTGTATAAAACAGCAATCTCTGTACAGGATATAATGTATCATAACATATACAGTTATCTTTAAAAAGACAAGATGCAAGTCACAATGATTATGAATATAAAATTTACATTCTCCAAAGGTCATTTATTTGGCTATTCGTGTTCGAAGCCGTCGCTTGAGAATCTGGTGATCACTTTCCTTTACTTCATGGTCCACTAAAATCTGAAATTAACAATATCATAGTTTTTCAAAAATTACAAGAAAAATCAAAATATAAGTTTGTTTATAATGAGTGATAATGTATGTTCATGTCATTAGTCATTGACATAATAGGTACATTACTCTTTTTGTCCTCTTAAACTATAGGTATTTCATCCTCTATAAAAATATATGCAAAAGAAAACAGCTTTTGTAGAAGATTCAATCAATTCTACTTCATTTTAGAATTAACTTACTCTCTGTATTAAATTAAGTACACAAATAAGCTGAAAATAACTATTAAAATATTAGATTCAAAAAACGCCTCAAATTAACGTTAGGAAAAAATCTTTTACAGCAATAAGCATACAACTTAGGAAGTAGTTATATACTAAGAAAAGAAAAAACCTGCAGCCAAGGGAAGAAATTCCATACTCATCATAAAATGGTAAAAACAAACAAACAAACAAAACAAGTGACCAATACAACAGCACTAACAGTACGTCCTAATTAATCCCACTTCTTTACTACTTGCCCTCAAGTACCAACTTCCTATCTGATAGCTGTTACAAAAAAAAAGTTGTTTAATTTTTCTTGGCCACTTAATGAAATTTTTTCACTTTAACTACTTTTTTACTTTACTGTCATCTACTAAGCTAATGTTAGCATGATAGAAAATTAGAACCTTCCCTGTAATAGCACCGACTGTTCTGAGTGAGGAGAATCAGTCATAAGAGTCAAAGTGACCGGTTTTTAGAGGAAAGGTGACAGGAAATGGCTAAATGTTAATTTGATATTTTTACTATGTATATTTCTACCCAGATTTGTACAAGAAAGAATAGATGTTAGAGGCAAATAAATTACTAAAATTCTGATAATTCTATTGATGGAAACACATTCCTCTAATGAAGTTCAAATATAAATGTATGACACATATATATTAATATGATTATTTCTATTTAATTACTATCAGGTTAACATCTCTAAGACCAAAAATATAATAACATTTAAGCATGTGTTTTACAAGATCTGGTCCAAAGAACAGAAATTCAAATCATGTAAAATTTAAATTGTTAACAATACTTCAGAATTAAGAAGAACATATGTAGTTTTACATTAATGAAAAGTGAAATTCTAGCTTACCACTTGGCCAGATATATCAATAGGAGACGAAATTTCATTTGTGTATAATTTCCGTTTCGCTCTTTTTGGTTGAGATACATTTTCCTTATTTGCTTCTGAATTTGAATGCTTTGAAGAGCTCATTGTTTCAATTATCTTTTTTGCTAAGAAATAAAAATATTAATTACTCGCTAAGGTAATTTTTTAATTACAAAGGGCCATAAAAGAACATATAGAAATTTAAAACAAAAGGCAACAAAGGACATATAGATAACTCATACAAAGATTAAATGCTTAAATAACACATGAAATAATGATTATCAGCAAGAATAAAGTAAAAAACACAAACTATTCTCTGAATAATGTTCAACAAAGTGCAAAGGTTTACAGTACAACCAGAAGGTTATAAAACAACTAGTAAAATTTCGGTATCTTTAATGACTTGGAAAAATTTTATGTTATGTTAATAAAAAAGCCAGAAACATGTATAGCAGAATGTATGTCTTAAAAATAAGGTGGTGGGGTTAGTTCGAAACCCATGTATAAGGATGTACACAAAGAATTGCAAACTGCTAACTTATGCTTCACACCCCGACACACCAACAGAAGACACATAGCCAAGACAGCAACGACTCCTACCCACCCTCTTCTGAATTACCCTAAGGCATGGATGCATACTCTTATGATCAGGTAGATCAGCACAGAAGTAAAGTGTCTTATTGCCCAGATAGTCCCAGATAAAAGGCTTTTGAGTTTCACGGACTTCAGGACTGATGGTTGGGGCAGAATAAAAGGGACAGGAGACAAAGGGTTAGGAGTAGAAAAGTACTAAATCACAATGCAGAAAATGCCAAGGACTATCTACTTCTTCAAAACAAAGTTTTGGCAGAGTTAGCTGGAGAAGACCTCTGCTAAAGCCAAAAAGAGGCTCTGAAAGGAGGTACCCAGGCTACAAATGCAGACAGCACGGAGACTGAGTCCTCAAGTATAACTCCTTTCAGAGACTATCGTGCCTTGGTTTTACACCAGCTCTAATACTGAGAGATAAATTTTTTGTATGAGGTCTATCACGTAAGTCTCTGTGATTGCCTATAATTATTCTTTACAAAAAAGCCACACTTAACTTGGCCTGAAGCTAAACTCTTAACTATCACATGAAGGCCAATGTACTAAAAGGTGAGGAAAACTAGACAGACATTTTGTCTCTATGGAGCTTATCTTCTAGAGGGAAAGAGAGTAACAAAGAATTCCACTCTAAATAAGTGCTAAGACAGAGAAAGTAAAACAGGACTGAATAGCAAAGATTAAGTGAAGCTAGTGAGGAGGATTAGCGATAGCTTGATGAAAGAAGGAAGCTGAAAGATAAGGGAGCAGCTCTGAGGACAGCCAGGGGAATTTTTTTTTTTTCCCCCATTCATTTCCAAGTGACCAACCACAACAGACAGGCACTATAGACAGAATCCAAAACAGAATGTCTTATATTCCTAGAAATAAATTTAAAATCTAAAATCCATGCCAAGTGTATTAATGAGGAAGCTGTCAAGGAACTGAGCCATCAAGTAAGGAAGTCATTACCTTATAGGAATAGTCCTTTTGTTGAAAATATTTAATATAGGAAAAGCAATATAATCTGAATACATAATCTTCTAAAATAAGTTCTCTTTTTGCAAATATAACCATTTAACAGTTGGCTATTTGTCTTTTTGGATTATTTCCAAGTTTATACAAACTATACTTTTAAAAACAGGTATTTCACAGGTCTGAAGTTCAAATCCTACAGCAAACTTACAGGAACAACTCAGGATGTATTCAGTCCTCAAGGGAAACAGTATCCCTGATAGTTCAAGGTAACTCAAGGTTTCAAAATTATACCATATTACTTTCTTTTTAATGATGGTTTATTTTTGCTGCCTACATTTTTAGAGGCTGAATTTTTAGTGGGCCCTTTAAGCTCTTCTGGACAAGGCTATTTAGGGGAGTTTTTGGGATACAAGGAGGGGCACAATGACAATAATTACTGAGACATTAAGGGTACCAAACCAAGAAAATGTGGATAGTCCTGCAACAAGTTTGCACAGAAAATAATCGTACAGCCTATGATTCAGTTCCACTGTCCCTTGCTTCTAGTCCTCAGTCTCCGCACTTTTGGCCTCCAATTCATCATCTTTTTGCCATTCATGAACTCCTACAAACCCATTCCTCTACTCACTCTTCCTAAATTGTCCTTCCATATTCTACATGCCAGTCATATTGCTACCTGGAATTGCATAAAAATACTATGCATTTTTTCTGTGAGTCTAACTGTGTTAAAATCATTTCCTCTGGTAGTTGTGTGCGTAGGTGTATGTATGTGAATATCACATATCTTAATATATAAACAGATATATTTCAATATTATATTATAAAGAAAAAGCATGACGCATATATATTTGCAAATTCAACAGACACAGAAATACATGTTTTGACGTATTATAGATGAGCAGGTAAGGTATGCATAATACATAACATACAAATACTACAACAAACACCATAATACTAACAGTGATTAGTAATCAATAATACTGAATTATAAATCACATTTCTTCCATACAATTTTCACAAAATCCTCTAATCAGAATGGTTTTGTCCACTGCAATATTATTATAGCACTTTGCCTACACATCTATCATATTAAGCAGGCTGTTTTATCCAGATCAATCACTCAAATATAAACTTCTATCCTCTAATACAAAGTCAACACTAGGCACATACTCTTTTCATCTGTTCCTTCCCAGAGTAACTAATGTAGGACAATGCTTGTTTATCACAGAATACTTGAACTAAACATTTGAGTCTATATATCAAGCAGGTATTAGAAAGGACCCTACTAACAGAAAAGTCCTGTTAATTAATTTTCTACAAACCTTTTGACTGAAGAATTGTTGGAGAACGTTGTAAAAAGTCTCCAAATTTCTGTAATGTCCCTTCTTTTCTCTTAGTGACCAAGTTTACACTTGTTGTGGGTGCCTGACTCGGTAAAGAGTATGTTTTCTTAGATGATGAATGTGCAGAAACCTAGTAAAAAAACATCTTTTGTTACTACTCATAAAAAGTATTAGAATAAAATAGTTCTGACTATGGTAAAATTACAGAGACAGGACTAATTATATGCAAAGAGGGATAAAATATTAAGTCTATCCATAAGAGTTAAGCCAGAAGTAAATACAAGTGACTCCTAATGGCCAAATGTTAAAGGTTATATCTAAGCTGAATTAGATGGATATGAAATGGAAGTTATAGTCAGACACAGCTGGATTTGTGGATAATAGCTAATTGGATCTGACATTTAATTTTCAGCTTCTACTTTATAAATGTAAATTATGGACATGGTCAATTTTAGAAAAATTAAAAGACAAACCTTTTGTTCTTTTTTGACAGAAGAATGTGTCATCTCTGAAATAGGGAATTTAAAATTTGCTCTGGGTGTAGCATTCTTCTTATTTTCATATTTTGTCAAGTCCTAAAAATAATGAATTTCAGTACTAGTCAATTTTTGGATTTCTCAAAAAGAAAAAAGAAATATTTGTAAAATGCTATGTATCATTTATAACCATGATCCTGTCAATGTCTGAAGACATTTTCGGTTGTCTTTGCGAGGATGAATGTTGTCTGCAACTAGTGAGTAGAATCAAAATATTTCTAAACACCACTACAATTTTCAGGACAGCCCACAAAAACGAAATATCCTGCACAAAATATCAACCATGGTAAGCCTGTCAATCTTGACTGCAGGTATGAATTTTTACATACAAAAAAATAAAGTACATAAGCTAAATGAAACACCTAAAAGAGTGACATATTTTATTTTAATCTCATTTTTATAATAAAGCACAGCCTTTTTCTAATTCTTAAATTATACAAGACCTCTCACTGAAATCAGACAGCATCAAAAACAAAACTTCAAAAAGGAAAAATATGAAAATTATTTATCTTTCTTCTTTACTAAGTAAACATGGCATCTTCCTTTTCTCATACAATCTCACACAGAATGAGGTTTTTTTGCATGTATGTTCTGTAAACTTAATTGATGTGAATCCAAGTTGTACCAAAAACTACAAGAATGGGGTCGGGGGTGAGAAATCATGACTGAAAAGCCAGAATCCAAGTTACAAAGCAGACCCATGAAAGGGGAGAAACAGTAACCATGAGAGACAGATAAAGAAAGACTAAAAGGCTCACGCATTGTACTTGAAGCATTCATTGTATTTATGTGAATTTGCTAGGTTAAAATGTAGGACTATGTAAATAATTTTTAGTCAATATATTATAGCAGTGAAGGATATTAACAAAATCAGTTTAAAAATTTAACTTTCCATAGGATTTATCTGTAACAATCTGTAAAACTGTTCTGAGCTACATGTAAAGATACAAACCAATATCAAATTTTACAAAATATTTCTATTTTAATACTCAAGTTTTATACTTAATTTTTCCTTTTCTCTTAGAAAAAAGTAGACAGAGAAAAAGTCAACTTAACAACTTAACATAGATGACAATGAAATTAGTGTTTTAATGGCATTTAAACTGTAATAAACATAAATAACTAAAACAAAAACAGCTAATAAAACACTACAAAATAATCTGTAACTGTGTTGATAGCTACAATCATATTCACCAGCAAACTTAATACTTTACAGAGACCCTCAGGTATAGTTATACACTACTTTTTTATTTTTAATTTTATATATATATATATATATATATATATATATATATATTTTTTTTTTTTTTTTTTTTTGGTACTAGGGATCGAACTCACCTCTCGCTTGCCAGGTAGGTGCTTATGCTGCTGAGCTGAATCCCCAGCCCAAAAAATACACTACTTTTAAAGAAATAAAAGAAAGTTAGAGAAAGTTATGTTGCTAAAAAATTATAATTTCAAAACCTTACTTTAAAAATACAATTATTTATTTACCACATGTACAGCAACAGCTCACAGAAAGTACACGTGACTCAGCAGATCTCCATAATTAAGATAGATGAAAGGTCTGGCATTCCTACCATCAACGGACTACAAAAAGAGTTGGTAAATTGGTTTTAGCGTATCACTATTTTGAAGCTCAAATTTTAAATCTGGTTAATGGAAAAAGATTCTGTCTTCCAAAACTTGGTATGGTCATAGACATCTAATAGTTTAATTATATAACAAAAACTTTACACTGAACATTTTAATTTTTTTATCAATCTTTTTCATCTTCCATTGGAGAGAAAATGAAAATATATACAGAAACAGTTCTCAAGTAAAATTCACTATAATTGACCAATTTAAATGAAGTAACAGATAAGCTGTGTATTAATGTATTATTTTAATATCCATGGCTTTTTGCCTGAGGACTTTTAAGCAACAGGATTACTTTTAAAAGATATAAAACATGCCTTCAATAATGACTTTAATCTCCTTAAGAGCAAAACAGTGTATCAGTGCCTAACTATATCCTATAACTGATCTTAACAGTAGTAAGATTTGCTTTTCAATCTTATTCATTAGCTAAGAATTTACCTCCTCCATTTCACTCCTCTTCCTCTTCCAGGCCTTAGAAATCTTAACTGTCACTGATGTGGTACAACCAGGATGTTTCACTGACATTTTCTTTGGCTGTAAAGGTGTAAACTGAATCTCCAACTCAGGTTTCAGAAATCGAGTACTTAGTTCATTTTCTGTTGACACTTCACAAGAATCAAGAACCACTGATCCATTCTACAACAAAATTTAAAAAAATTATAGAATATGAATTTATAAGCCACAAATTAATTATCTCAAATGCCTACTACAGACAACAAATTGGAACGATGAAAAGTGTGACAAACCACAGCAAGGATAGCAAGCACAGGTTAACGTCTAGGAATGTCCAGGTTTGTACAAGGCATGTAAAATGGGGTCATAGCTGAGAAGTGGAGTGTGTGCACAGCATATCAGGTCTTGGGTTCAATCTTTTGCACTGACAAAAAAATTAGAGGAAACAGAGATTAACATTTCCTCAGCTTATTTGACAAGATTACCTACAGAATTTGTTTAAAAGATTATTAGACCTTATATGAACTTACTTTGTCAAAAATCTAGAGTCTGGGGGGCTGGGGATTTAGCTCAGCAGCATAAGCGCCTGCCTTGCAAGCAGGCAGTCCTGAGTTCAATCCCTGGTACTGATAAAAAGGAAAAAGACAAAAAAAATCTAGAGTCTGGGTTTTTTAACAAGCCCTCCAATTGTGGTAGATTTAAAGCTGGTCATAAATTCCTTGCCATTCTTTTTCTGAGCAAAAAGTGTCACTTCCCTCTGCTTGAATCTAGGCTGGGTTTAATGACTTTCATGATCAATTAAGATGCAGTAGTAACATCCTGTTTCTCTAAGGCTCACTAATAAAAAGCATTGTCTCCCATCCTATCTTCCTGAATACTAACGTTCAAAATATTTTCCTCCTTAAAATCTATTTGCAGAACCCCGCTAAGACGCTGTGAGAACCCAAGGCCACAGACACAGGCTGTGTGTAAATTCAACAGAAGCCCAAGAATCACCTACACCAGCTATGCAAGTAAATCACTTTGGACTTTCAGCCTAGTTGAACATGTTAATTTCACGAAAGCATGAAAACGCATATAAAAGATAATAACTACAGAATTTACCTCAAAATGAAATATACAGTAATTGCTAGAATTAATAAGAAATTGGACCTATGTTTGGAGACATCATATATGAATTTATGGAGGGTCGGAGATTTAGCTCAGTAGCATAAGCATCTGCCTGGAAAGTGCAAGGTCATGAGTTCGCTCCCTGGTATAAAAAAAAAAAAAAATCAAGGTATAAATTTACGGAGAAAGAATTGACTTATTATATGTGATTACCTATGTAATCAAGAGTTAAACCTTGTTTACTGATCAACTTTAAACTCACTAAAAACTTTATTTTTTAATCCCTAAAATCAATACTATGTGAAATTCTACTGAGCAGCATCAAGAAAAGGCCAAAAATAAAAGGAATGGCTCATGTTATTTTCCCCAATGCCTTTCCCCTCCCCTTCAACAAATTTCTAGTATGATCCTCACTTCTCTAATCCACAGCCCCAGTGTTCTTTGGGGCACTTAATTCTAGCTTCTATTATAACACACAAGGTAAGGTCAAACAAATTAATAATTTGTATGTCATACTAGATTCCTTACTTCTGGAGGAAAACAATCACATACCATTTGTTTCTATACTTAGTGCTAGTGCTTAGAAAAATTCCCAAACTGACTGCTCCCAATATATACATTTAAAAAAATAAATTTAAAATGTAATTTTATCTCCAAAAATTTTAAGTGACATAAAATTTTTATCTGTTTCATATCCAATCTAAAACACCTATATTAGTCAAAGTTATTTGCAGAAACCTAGATCTAATGCACATTAAGGAAATTCAATGAGACATGAAAAGTCAGTGACAAAATTATTATACAGATACAATTCCCCAAAGCATACTTTTTAACACAATGCTTACTAAGGAAATTTCTTAAAGAGCAAATTATCATAAGCTTTACTATTTCTGACCATCAAATTTGTTTATATTAACAGATCTATTGTTTTTAAGAAGAGATTAACATCACATGGGATATCGAATTGTCCAAAATATTTCTACTAGTCCAAAAGTTCGAGTTTTCCTTCACACAGCCAAAAGTATATTTGGTTAGTTATTACATAGCAAGATACCTACAACTACTGGTAAACTTGCAAGCACTACTGAATGAGTAATAGTGCATAAAGGGAGCAAATGTGAAATATATTACTAAATATTCACCTCCACTCATTCCTGGAAATTTCAAACCTTGTTGATTGAGGTTCACTTTCAATCCCGGCAGAATCTTTTGAACTAGTATGTCTAGGCTTCGTGACTTTGTTTTGTTTTTCCTAAAATAAGAAAATATTAAATAAATCATTTTAATCTGAAAATAATTAAAACACCTCACATAAAGAATATGAAAATAAGATCTACAAAAACCAAATAGTAGAAATAATTAGACTTACTGAGTGCCTACCTATGCCTCCCTCCACCTCTGTTTCGTCCTCAGAGACTCAGGAAAACCCGGCCAACTCCTCATTTCTTCTGATTCTAGTCTAACACAGTGAGGAGAGCACCACTTTCAGGATCCAAAGTGTTTACATACAACCTCTCATTTTCTTTTCCTTGTAACTCTCAAATTCGGTTTAACAAAAATCATTATGCCTACTTCCCAGATGAAAGAAAAAGAGACATGGCCACGTCTGGACTGAACTGGAACTTTAAATCCTCAACTGCCTTCCATAATACAATTTTTAAAAACTAGACATTGCCCGAGAATGTAGTCATTTAGTTAGGGTAATTCGAAAATGTTATAATTTTCCTCAAAAGTCCCAAATCATAGTGACAATAGTTGATAACTAGTTTCGTTTTGTTTTTTTTTACTTTGGCTCAGACCAATCAATATTGTTTTACTTTTTATAAAGTTTGTTTGTTAGTTTGTTTGTTTGTTTTGGTACTGAGTATCAAACTTACGACCTCACACTTGCCAGGTAGTCGCTTGTGCTGTTGAGCTATACCCTCGGCCTTTTCAGACTCTTCAGTCTTTTAATACCTTACATGCATACCTCATGCACACATATATACACATTCTTCTCTTGTTATTCAAGTTCCTAGAGCAATGGATCATTATGTGCTGACCATTCATACCATAAAGATCAACTTCAGATATACCCTGATTCAGTTCACTGGGACACAACTCTTTGTGAAAGTCAATCCTCTCTTCATTCAGAAGTACTATTTAAAAAGTAACTGCTTGAGCAACTCATGATGCTCCCGCTCACTACGTTTACTTGCAAAGTAATTTGTACCTTTAAGGGTGGATCCAAATATTAAAGTACTACTCAGCGTTCATTTTAAATCACATTTCTATAATTTAAAGGCAGATTAGAGACAAAATCATCCGTTGTTGATTTGCTAACTGCTCTACTTAGGGCAATGATGGCAAACATTATAGAGCTTTCAGGGATAACAAACAGCTGGCTATGGCATGCATGCCGTAGGTTTGCTACCACTAACCTAGGAGGTCTGATCAAATATTACAGAAAGTGCTATGCCTCAGCTATTAAGAAATAATGACAAATAAATGATAATGATAAATAAAAGACAGAAGAGTTATTTTGAAGCAAATTCTGAAAGCTTAAAATTCATGAGAAATATTTTAATTTTGCACACTGTGATTCCTCTCTGGTCTACTGAGTTAACTAAATTGAAAGACAATTAATTTTGAAAAATCCTATGTTCGATAAAATGGCATAAAAAAGTATAAAATTCTTACTTTTTCAGAAGCCTCTGATGTGCTGTTTCGTAACTGTTCAATTTCATTATCTTTCTCTCTGTTACTGGAGATCAGTGCTTTCAGCTGTATTTCTAAAGCAGCAACCAGCTGGTCTCGCTCTTCTCTCCACTTCTGAAGGTCACTGTTCTTCTCTGCCAGCTGTGCTGTCAGTATTTCCTAACCAATAGAGAAAACATCTATCATGAGTTCAAAATCATAAAATACTCATTAGTAAATTAAAGAAGATAAGTATAAAATTTTGAAAAATTACAAAACAATGTTAAAAAATTGAAGATTCCTAAATAAATGAACATATAATCTGTGTTCAAAGATGAAAAGATTCAACATTCTCCCCAAATAAACCTGGCATCAATGCAATTACCATCAAAACTCAGGTGCATGTGCATGTGCATAGGTACAAAAGAGCTAATTCAAAAAGATACATAGAAATGCAAGTATCTAAAATAGTGAAAATGAACAACAAAATTAATGCAATCAGCTATTACTGTATAACAATCAAGACAGTGTGACTAAGACATAAAGATAGAAAAATTAATAAAACAGAAGACACTCCACAAATGTATGGTCGATTAATGTTCTACAATGACATTCTATAAAGACATTCTATAAAGACAATATAATCATTTTAACAGATGGTACTGAAAGAATGGAATAATCAAATTTAAAAAATTAATCCCAAAACTAATATACACCACAAAAAGTAACAATGAACAAATAAGACAAAAGTGACACAGCAGTGAGAGAGAAATAGTCTCTTCAATAAGTATGATGAAGTCGACTGCTAATTCACATCAACACAAGCTGAGGTAACACATACATTATCATCAAGGAAATTCAGATATATATGCAACATAAATTTATGCACATGTGCACCAATAAAAAAATAAAAAATGTTTATGGTGAATTTGCTATTATCAAAACACAGAAAGCCTAAATGTCTGAAATATTACAATGAATGAATGGAGGTATATTCATAAACTGAAACATTTAGCAATGTTAGTAACATGAATTACTCACAAAAACATAATAATCAAAGAAGTCAGACACAAACAAATGATTGCTATTTATACCAAATTCAAAAAAGGACAAAACTAGAATATTAAAAGACAGATGCATATGCCTATAGTACCAGCACTCACTTGGGAGCCTGAGGCAGGAGGATCACCATGAGATTAAGGCCAACCTGCACTACATACAGAGACCCTACCTAAAAAATAAAAAAAAAAAAACTGCAAAAGATAAAAGACAAAATAATTATTCTCATCAGGAAAGAGGAAGAGAGGACTCTGGAATATAACAAAGAAACAGGAAAATAAAATAAGCCAGCTTTCTCTAGGACTTGAAACTTAAAGTAAGGTAGGTCCAGGGGTATGCCTGTAATTCCAGGTCCCCTGAGAAGCTGAACTAGCACTGTTTGAGCTCTGAGGTTCAAGTCCAGCCTAGGTAAGAGGGAGGAAAGAAGAGAAGGAGAGAGGGAGAAAGAGAAAGAGAGAATCAATATGAATTCAAACGGGTATGCTTGCTGGCACTGCTTCCAGAGGAGCAAATGACTAGGAAAGAACTGGCTCCCTACCTGCTTTAGAATGGGTACAACTATGACAGCCAAAGTTTTTTACTTCTTACCTCTTACAACAACGGTCAGAATGATTCAATGGACTGTGGGACAGAAAGCCAAAAGCAACTCCTACAGCATCAGAATTCTATTCAACTCAATACTTCCTTCCTACAGTGTAGGTCTAGAAATGTCCCCAAAGGCCTGTATGTTGAGGGTTTTGTTCTCAGCTTGGTGGTGTTGGGAGATGGTAGAACCTTTGAGATGTAAGACTAGTGCAAGGTTTTAGGTCACGGGGAGATGCCTTCAAAGGCAACTGTGGAACCATGATATTTTGTTCTTTTTATGGTGCTGGGGATTGAACTCACAACCTCACGGTTGCCAAGCAGGCACTTAAGCAGCTGAGCTAAGCCCCCAGCCCCTGAGGGACCATGATATTTTGCTCTTTCTTTTGCTAACCTTCAGTGAGGTAAAAGCTTTTGTTCTGCCCTGTGGTCTCACTGGGATGTGCTATCTACCACAGGCCCAAAGCAATAGGCCAGTGATTTGGTTTGAAACCTCTGAAACTGTGAACGAAAATAAACCTATTCTCTTTATAAACTGATTACCACTTATTACCACTTGTTACAATAAAGGAAAGCTAATTAACACATTCCTATAGGCAACAACAGTCACAAGAAGTTGACACATAAGAACAAACATATTACCATGTCAGAGGTATAGCATTAGTCTCAAAGGATTTGGCACATGAAAAAAATCTAGAGTCAATACTCTAAAGAAACATGACAACCAATGAAATGCAGTAGACTGGATTAGTTCTTGGACTCCAAAAAAGAGAGTAGTGAGAAAAGTGATGAATTTTTTTCAGAAAGGTTTAAAATTTAATCAATATGTTGGTTATTATCATGATAATGTTATGTAAGATCAGGATAAGTTGAGTGATATATATATATATATATATATATATATATATATGAATTTTCTTTACCAGAGTTGTAACTTCTTTGTAAATAAAATGATTTAAAAATAAGGATTTTTTTAGGGCTGGGGGTTTAGCTCAATGGCGTAAGTGCCTGCTTGGCAAATGAGGTCGTGAGTTCGAAAAAGAACTACTGAAAAACTAATGTTTTTTTTGTTTTTTTTTTTTTTAAATTAAGCGCAAAGAAAGCTTACTTCCAAAAGAAATACCAGGGCAGAGCACACAGGTAGACTCCTGTACTCTCAGATACTTCCACCAAGGGATTCTCTTGAGACACAGCTTTTGCCAGGCTACGGATAGCACATAATGACATGCAGCCTTCTCAGCAGTCACCATGAAGGGCTGAGGCTGCTGCCGCGTCTGTGCTTTTCTAGCTGTATCTCTTGGCCCTGGGACACCATGTACTGCTCTTGCTTCCTTCTGCTTCATTTCAGGGAAAACATAAAAGGCCTACAAAGAAAGAGACTTTTCCTCAAAATCTTACACTTTCAGAGATAAGGTGATATTGGTTTACACAGATTGAAGAATTTAGAAATATTTGATAGGTGAAAAAAATCAGTATGTTAAGGAAAAAGCATCATTGCTGCAATAGACTACAGGCATGGTCTAGACTAGAGCTTAGTAAGTAAACTGGCAAGTTATGTCCATAAAAGGCTCTGTGCACAGAACTGACCATCTTTGTCCAATATTAAATATTTGGGTAAGCTTTAAAGTTAGAGGGTAAAACGAATGGAAAAAACCATACTTTACTTATTGATAATTAACATTCTCATTTTTATAGAAAAGCTTATCTGTTAAATTTCAACATAAAATATCGAAAGACAACAGTATGATATTATCTACCTACTATTACTCTATTATAAAGAACTACTGTTCCATTTAAAGCTAATGCCTGTTGGTGGCTCAATGATAACTTTTAACTTTGTTTTTCTTATTGGCAACACTGCGTACCAAATTGCCAAATGACAAAAAAGGATAAAAGCTAAGATACAATATGACTTACAGCTAGTCAATGCAAAACTGAACATCATTTCTACCTGTACCTATGTAGTCTTCTAGAAACAATATATTGATTTTTTTTAAAAAAGCTCTGATAAAATGGCTTACAAGATAATAAGCACATACCATCAGAATCTATAGCTCAAAATGTAACAAGTTTTAAAATACTTTAAGGAAAACTTTATAGCATTCAAAAAAATAAAAGATTTGACACCTAGAGTCTGCGAGGCAATTAGGTATTTCCCCAACTTATTAAAGAAACTGAGAAAACTTAAAACAAGACCGTAAGAGAACCTTAAAATGAAGTGAGATGAACTGGGGCAGGAAATTATTACTAAATCTGCCATTTAAAAACTTCTGTTTTTTTTTTTTTAAAAAGCAACTATAGAGAGACTGACAAAAATCTCAAGAATAAATGTAACAAATCAAAGCAAAACAATTGAAATGCATCAACAAAATAATTGTTACCGACCACTTCATTTTATTGCTTTAAACAACACTCTCTATCTTCTGCGTATTTTTTCATCTCTGTTTCGCAGATTTTCAGCTTTTGCTTGAGTGATAAGCATCATTTTTTCTTCTAACCATTTCTTCCTATCAGCTTTATATTGCTGTTCACATTCCTATAAATGGTACAAGTTATTACTGTATGCCTAAGTGATCAATAAGCCTGTTTTCAATGTTATCATACAATCCATCTCTTCACCTTTTAAAACTATGAAAAAGTGTTTCTAAGTAATGATAAGATCAGCATTTACTTCAGATTATAAAACAAACATTAGCTGGTTTTACTTTCCTTTATAAACTTTACTTTGCTATAAGTCCACTTAATGATTTTCCTTTATTTAGGAAAAAATAAAAAATTTAGATTTTTGGAAGAGCTACTGTCATTCATCTTCTTAAATAAATGCCACATAGTGGGGAGGCAGGTACTTCTAATTGCATGATTTTTTAAAAAGTACTGAATATAGGATGCTAAATAAAGAATAACTTGTGTACTAGGGCATTTATTAAACAAAACGTGAGAACAGTTGGACAATGTTTATAGTAGATGAGTGATTTTCACACTAGTTTCTATAGATCTTTTGGGCCTACAGGCACTTTTATTTTATAATTTCAAAACTCCATGGAAACACTAATTAAATCAAAAACAAAATTAACACTCTAAAAAGACCTAAAACCACTGTAAGATACACCAGTTCATTCTAGAGCCTTACAGTTTACCACTAAGATATGTGATTATGTCTTCTTTGACTAAAGCAAAATATAATAACACTACTTAATATGCACAAATGGATATAGTGGATGTATTATTTTTCATAATAAGTAGCATTGTTGATAAATGTCACCAAAAAACATTTTCCCATGTCATTTTCTACATATAGTATATTAAAGCTAAATAAGACAAAATACATAAATACAAAACATATGACTATTTCAGTTTAACAAACCTTGAAAAGATGAATAGCAATCAAAATAGTTCTCTTGATGGTCACCTTCTCTATATTTGCTACATTAGAAAGGAGTAGAAAAATTGGTAGAAAGATAAAAAAAATGGTAATTTAAAAATTTAATTACATCAAATATATAACTAAGGCCCCTATCACTCCATTTCACTGGCACTAGTTTGTGTTATGAAAATTTTTTCACATTTAATTTCATTGTGCGCTGAAAAAATAAATTTATATGAATTCCTTCACTGGAAATATGATAGACATAAACATCATACCTGCAATTCATCTTGAAGCTTACTGAGCTTTTTATGAAGTATGTCTGTGTCACCCTCAAATTGTTTATTTGATTTGCAATCATTTTTTGTTTTCAGATTTTTGTATTTTTTCTTCCATTTTTCCAATTCTGATTTGAAGAAACAAAATTAATTTTAAAAACACATGCAAAAATTATACCATGAAAAGATACAGCTGACATGAAATATGGGCAAAACCAGCAAGGCCCAGAATAGAGATTAAAATGGAACTGAGAGTAATTCAAAAGCTGTACTTCAAGAGCTTTTACCAAATTCTTAGTGAAGAAGAACCACAGGAGCTTTTCAGGAATTGACTTGTGTTCAGAGTACAAAGCATAAATTCACTATATACCTTATTATGTAAGTTACTACAGACTTCTCAAAAACAAAAAAGCTATTCAATGTCCATGAAAGTGGTTCTAAAAGTGTAAGGCTGAGTGTGCTCATCATCATTCACATTTTTATCCACCAGTGTAGCTGCAGGATTTACAAAGTATGCTGATGCTAATCATCTCAATCTGAAAATCATAGTTATTTGCAACTGTGTGCATGGCATTGTCATCATCAACTGCATTTTAAGGATGAGGACAACTAGGCTGAGTAATATCCTGGCAAGGCTACATACACAAAAAAAGACCCAAGTAATTTCCTGATGCTTAATATTTTTTGAGACTGGTGGGATAGATCAGTAATAAAGCACCTGCTACAATTTCATTACTAATAAATTAAGTGCAATATATTTCTACATACTCTAGAAAACTTCTGACAGTATTCTGAAGGTAATAGAACAAGAGTATTTATTGAGATAAATATAAGATAATGTCAAAAATTTGACACACGTGAAACTCAGATGAAAACTATTTTTTAATGTTTGAAAACAGGAAATTATTTCAATCTTAACATTTGTGAATTATTATGGTATTTTTTTCTTTATTGCACATAATTTTACTTCAAATAGAAAGATTTGTATTACAGTGGAAAATGATAAGTCACAGGACATTCAAAGAATACACCAAAGACTTTAGAATTATGGTTTTCTTTTAAACACAGTCTCATTATGTAGTTTATGATGGCCTTGGACTCACTACGTAGCCCAAGCCCCAAGTGGCCCCAAGCCCATGATGGTACTCTTGCCTCTCCTCCCAAAAGCAAGCACTATAATTGTGTGCCAGCATGCCTGGCTAGCATTATGGATTATTATCAATTCTGTATTAATTCTAGAAGGGAAATCTTTAAAACCAAAAAAAAATGAGACAGAGAAATGAAAAACTATATTTTAAGATAATAAAAGCAATCTTTTTTGAGGAAGGAAGGGAATGTTGAAACAGGGCGTTGCTATGTAGTCCATACTGGCCTTGAAGCACTGTGTAGCTCAGGCTGTCATCAGATTCACACTGATGTGCCTTGGCCTCCTGACTGCGAGGATTACGGGTGTGTACCATAAAGCCTGGCTATAAGATATAGGAAAACTCGTTTTACCTGTGGCCAACCATTCTGCTTCCTTCAATTTAGCCTCAAGTGCTTGATCTTGTTCTTTTGAGTTTGTTCTTGTTCCTCAAGGGTCACTCGGATGTCTTAATCATTTTCTCTTTAACATTTAGATTTAAATATTTGAGAGAAACACTTAAAATTAATATGTGGTTCTCATTTTGCTTATATTCTTCCAAAATTAAATATATTTTCATGAATTATAATAGAATACAAATCCCAAAATGTCAGAACTACTTGGCATATATGAGGTATGTGTGTGTGTGTGTGTGTGTATATATATATATATATATATATATATATCCCATAATATATGCCATACTTTTGGGCTTATGGCTGCATAATTCCTATCTATGTTTGAATGATGGCAAACATGGATGGGTGATACAGAATCTTTTCAGATAAAATTAACAATTTCATTATAATTAAATTATTACTATTAACACAAATCTGTTATGGCTCTAATATTCAAAATACATTAAAAATAACTCCATAATAAAAACACAAATAAACAAATTTTAAAGATAGGCAAAGAACAGGAACTCATATTACTGCAAAGAAAAGTCAGCGTTATATGAAAAAGTGCTTAATAGCATTAGCGCCATTAGAGAAATGTAAATTAAAACTATAATGACATATCACTTTATATTCACTAGGATCCTGTGTTAAATAATGACTCCCCAAATTAATGCTCATGCATTATGCACATAATCCTATTTAGAAACACTTTCTTAAAAATGTAATTAAAGTAAGAATGAGTTCAAGAGTTGAAAAGGAAAGAAAGAATGAGTTCACACTGAAATGTGGTAGGCCATATATCCAGTCACTGCTTTGCTTATAAAAATAGGAAATTCTGGCTGTAACTAAGAAAGAAAAGATAGCAAAGGCAGAGGTACAGATAGGAATTATGCTGCCATAAGGCCAAAAGTACTAACAATTGCCACCAACTACTAGAAGTTAGAAAAGGCAAAAGATTCTTCTCTAAAATCTTCAGAGGAAACATAGTCCTGTCAATATCTACACTTCTAACTGCTGCAACTGTGAGAAAATAAATTCCTGTTTAAAGTCACCCAGTGTACAGCATTTTGTCATAACAGCCTAATGAAAGTAATATTTTTTAAATGAAATTGATGATAATGATGTAGAGAAAATGGAATCCTTATCTATTACTGGTACAAATGTAAAAAAGTACATCTACTGTAGAAAACAGTTCCCTTCTCAGGCATAATACCAATGCGACAAAAACATGTTTAGAAAACATGTTTTCAAAAACAATACACACAAATGTTCATAAAAGCCAAAAAGTGAGAACAACCCAAATGGAGCATTACTCAGTGACAAAAATGAGACACATATGGATGAAAACTGTAAATACCACGTTAAATGAAGACAGAAAAGGCCACATAGTGTAGGAATCCACTTAACATAAAATGACTGCAGCAGACAAATACTCAGAGACACAGAGCAGGTTTGCAGCTTTCAGAGGCTAGAAGAAAGAAACCAAAGGAGTATGGAACGAGTACAAAGCTTCTTTTACAAGTAATAAAACTGTTCTCACCCAGAATTAGATAGTGGTGATGGTTGTACAACCTTGTGAGTATACTAAAACCCACTAAACTTTTAAAGAGTATACACACTTTATAAAGAATAAATTTTATGGTACTGTGTACCTCAATTTTTAAAAATACGTAATTAGACAACAAAATGAAATCTATTCAATATTTAGTAAAATTTAGTAGCCAGAGAAAGCTTTAAGAGTTGAAGATGCTGCTTTTCTTTCTTTGGTTGTAGGATAATGCCTAATACACCACAGAAATCATAAGAGCACACAAACTCTTTTTTTTTTTTTTTTTTTTGTCTTTTTCGTTTTTTATCGGTACCAGGGATCGAACTCACGACCGCACACTTGCAAGGCAGGCACTTACGCTGCTTAGCTAAATCCCCAGCCCCGAGCACAAAAACTCTTAAGGGAGAAGATTAAAAGGTAAAAGAACATGATATGTATTTGGAAAAAGTGCCAGAGCAGCTGAGGCTCACTAAAAGGAAAACGAGCACAACACAGATTGTAACAGCTGGGAAAAGGGGGCTTCCCTGGAGGGGGAGCAAGGTACTACCTTTAGGTGTAAAGTCATGTACCGGGCAGCTAGAAATACTACTTGAAAGTCAAGGAAAGAAAAAGGTCCATGACATCAGAACAACACGAAAAAGCAAAGCAGACACTACAAACGGCTAATAGATTTGAAAGTATTTAGGTTTGAAGTGACTGAGGGAATAAGTTTAAGAGCATAGAAAAGATGCGAAGTCAGATTAAACACAGAGAGCCCTGCCACAGTTTCCAATATTTACCGGAGAGGAAAACTTAAAACATGATAAAAATTATAGGCGATCTTGGCCCAACGGACTGTTTGAGAACTGCCAAAGTCTACCCATATTTGCCAGTATTAACAAAGAAGCCAAAGTAAAGGAGAATCTTAAGAATATTACAGAACTAGAAGACATTAAAAGAGTAAGGAAAGGAAAAGATAAAAAATGACCCAGAGATGTATTTCCACATCCAAGTTATTCATGCACATTTCCACACCAACACAGATGTTATCTAAATAAGTAATAGGTTAGTTACTACTTATTTAGTCATGTAAAGAAGCATGGATTAGAGAGGAATGTCTAAACTTAAGAGTGATGCAGATCTGGGTACATCCTATCTCTGCCACTCACATAACTAAGGGGGAAGGGATGAGAGTGGAATCTGTATAATTTAAGAACAGAAAAAAAAAATATATATATATATATATATGTAACAGTAATTTTATAAGACTTCAAATAAGAGATCAATAAAATTTGCTTTAAAAAAGCAAAATTCAACATCTAAGCTTTTAATTCACAAAAAACATACTGTTATCCAGAATACACAATTCATCTAAAAGTATATCTTGATTTAGTATAATTGTCTTACATGTTTTGGCCTGCTAATCTGGTTGTTAATCTGTGTATATGATAAATAATCTTACAGTAACCTAAATAAATGACTTATAACATTTATTTTGATGCTGAGAAAAATAAAAGGGAGGTAGACAGAAGGGTGAGAATTTAGATGTGTTAAATATGTGTACTAGTTCCCTATAATTAATATAACGGTTATGTAAACATATACTACTAGAACAAAAATTTTAAAAATAAAGTGGCAAGCTTTTAAAGATATTTTATCTGAAGTATATTCTTTACACAATTTTATCTTTCTAAAAATCTACTCATCATTTGTGATACACAGAACTTTGATGTACTTCTTTATAAAATCTTGGCCATTACCAAATCAATGTTGCCCTGACTGAATGTTGCTGATCATTTTATTTCCCAAAAATAAATTTCACTTATTTATTTTGTGGTGTCAAGGACCAAATCTAAGGTCTTATAAATGGTACACAAGGATTTTACCACTAAGTGAAGTTCTAGCCCTCTTAGAATAAACTGAAAGCTGCTGAGTTACTTGTCAGAATTTATGCATCTTTTCTTTCGATAAAATTACATGTTACATTGCTCTCTCTTCAGTGTAGGATTTTCAAAGGATAAAATACATTCAGATATTTTATATACATATAGCAACTCCCCATAATAAATGTAGATACTATGTACTCAAACATATAATAATAATAAAAATTTAAATTAAAAAATAAAAATAAAAAATAAAAACAATTCTTCAAAGGAATATTTTCTTTAGTTCTTATCACAGCTGCCTCTTTTGCAGTAATTTTAGTGCTAAACATTCAAAGTTGTTCCTGACCTTTACATACTCTCTCATATTGCTGTATAGCTTCTTCCACTTTCTGATTGCTTAACTGCTCCTACAAGACAAAATATGAATTAAATTCAAATGTAGGTTAAGCACTTATAAAAGTCGCTCTTAAAAAGAGGGTTTATTAAGTTTGAAATCAATCTCATACAAGGATGACCAACAGTCTAAAGCTTCTGAATTTCTTTTACCAGGAGAAAAAGTCAGGGTGAAATAATAGTAAGAAAACAAGCAAAGTGAGCTTGGGTAGAGTTCAGCAGCACAGCACCTGCCTGGTAAGCGTGAGGACCTGAGTTTGACTGCCAGTACCCTCCCCTCCAAAAAAGAAAAATCAAACCAAAAACAAGTGTATGCTTTTAATCTAACTTATCACCGCCATCTTACTTTCTCACTAAATTTTAGTTAAGACTTCTTGCATAACACAAAATACAGAAACAAGTGCAAAAAGATATTTGACATAGAAGAAACAAAAACAAACAAAGAGTCCTCCGTCCGTCTGTCTAGAAAGTACAGGTTTCAAAAAGTAACAAAAGTCATAATAAATGAGACAAATTATGGACTGGAAATTCTATACTTTTAATTTTAACCTATCAGCTAAGACTTTAAATTCAATCTCATTTAATCTTATCACTATCTCCTAACTTCATAGATTTTGGAATAAATCATTGTAGAACCTGGAAATCTGGGACACTGTATTACATAAATGCAGATGGTTTTATTACAATTGTATTTCCTTAAGAATTAAAATCATGTATTTACATCTCATTGTTCATTAATTTGTTTCATTTAAAATCAAAGGAAGGAATCCTGCTTCCTTACCCATTTAATTGATGTAAATCAAAATACGATTATTTGTAGGAAGGGGGCTGTTTTTCAAGTTTCAATTTTTAAAGAATTTATTAGAGTACCTCTTTTACTTATTTTACATTTTACTCTGAAAAAATTTTAATGTGTACAAAATTTGCAAAGATAGCAAATTATTTTAAACCGAAACTCCGCTTCTCCTACTGTTATATTACCTGATACATTTATAAAAAATCAAAATATTACTTTCAGTACAATACTATTAATTCTACTACAGACTGCACAATGCACCGGTTTTGCCACTGTTGTCCTTTTTTTGTCTTGGGATCTCACGAGATAACACTGCATACAGTCTTCATTTCTCCTTTAGTCTCCTCAAATCTGTGACAGTTCTTCAGTCTACCCATCTTTAATCACCTAGACACTTTATAGTAGTCAAGTATCGCAGAAAACATCTTCAGGTTGTATTTGTGTGATGATTACTCATGAATAGACTGAAGTTATAAATTTGGGGAAAGAACAGCACAAAAGGCATGTGTACTTTGGTCATATTAAATCAGATAGTACATACAGTATCAATATAACTAACGTTGGATATATTAGTTCTTGAATACTTCCTTTAAGTAGTTATCTGGTAGGTTTCTCACAATAGTTATTATTTTTTCTTTTCCATATTCTATTTATTAGGAGCCAGTTACTATGAACTTACTTAATTTTAAGTAATTTAGTTTTTGATCTTAGGAAAGGTCTGGCCTGGGAGTGTACCTTGGTGGTATGGCATTTTCGGGCAAGGCCCCGAGTTCATTCCGTAACACCACAGAAGAAAAACAAACAGAAAAGCAGAATTTGCTATTAAATACTAGTATTTATTTAGGCAATAAAATACGATAACAGAATGCATTTAAACCATCTTCTAAAATAAAACTGTTACCTTGAGCTGCTGAATAGTTCTCTGTTTCATATCTATTTCCTGAGAACACTGGCTTTTCTTTTTCTCTAGCTCATTTATTTTAGTCCTCAGTAATTTCTCTTCATCATGCATTACAGATACCTACAAAGCAAATTAAAATACTTTTTGATACTGCTTTTTGTTTAAAATTCTTAGTCTAGCCAGATGTGGTGGCTCAATCCTGCAATCTCAGCACTTCAGAAATTGAGGCAGGAGAAGCACCATGATTTTGGGATCATTCTGAGCTACGTAGTAAGTTTAAAGCCTTCTTGACCATACAGTGAGCTCTTGTCTCAAAAATGTCAAAACAAAAATATATATAAAATAAAAATTCAGAGCCACTTGTTCAAAGATGTCCTTTAGCACAGTATTAGAAAAATTATAGATACAACTTAAATCATATGTACTATTAAGTAAAAAGTTTATAAGACAGTTTCATTTTTTATAGAACAAAAAATGATAGAGCAAAAGAGAGAGGGGGAAGTATAGAGCAAGAAAATAACATTTAACGCCCAGGAGGGACATTTGATGGCTGAGGAGAAAGTGGGAAGGATTTCTCTCTCCCTAAATTTTTCTTTGTACATTTCAAATTCAGAGTCATTAAATTCAATAAAAACTTAATCAGGAGTGGTGGAACACACCTATAAGCACAGCACTCAGAAAGTTGAAGGCTGAGAACTGCAAGAGGACAAATGCCAGCCTGGGCTACATAGTTCAAACCCAGCCTAAGCTCCCGAACAAGATTTTGTCTCAAAAAAAAAAAGTTAAGTCATATTGCAGAATGTCTTAAAATTCCCTGCAAACAGAAGTTAATCTTTAATTTTTTTTTGAAGAACTTGAATGTAGCAGCAGTACTTAAAAGACAACAAACTAACAACAAAAAACAGCATGGTGGCACATACCTATAATCACGGTATTTGAGAGACTGACACTGAAAGATTTCAAGTTGGGTCCCAGCCTGGGATTTTATTTTGAGACTTGTCTCAAAATAAAAATAGAAAGGGTTGGGGGATGTAGTTCAGTGTGAAGGCCCTGGATTCAATATCCAGTAAGAACAACAACCAAAATAAAACCAAGAAAAGAAAGAGAAAGATTTTAATCTCACTTAAAGCGCATGTTTTTCTTAATGTTGGTCTTCGCCAGTTTGCTTATGATGGCTAAATTTCCTTTTATGAAATAACAGTTCTCAGCATTTTAAGAAATATTATAAAATTGATAAATCCTCTAGGCAGTCCTAAAATTACTGTCTAAATTTTCTAAATATGAGAAATGATCTTACCCATCTGACGGGTGCACACTTTTCATATAACCTACCTCTTTCTGTACTTGCTCAATCTGCTTTTGGCATCAGTCAGTTTCTCTTTCAGTTCAACACAATCATCTTCCTTTCTCTGAAGATCTGCTTTCAGACTTTGGGCAAAAGCAGAGCTTGCAGAGAGTTCTTCTTTCAATCTATAAAACATAAAACACTTTTCTCTAGTGGTACAGCAATAACTTCTCTGTGAACTGATAGCAATCATTACAAAGTTATTTTTTTTTACAAATTTTGAATGCACAAACTAGGAATGAATGCTTCAGAGAAGACATCGGGTGATTGTTTTTTAAGAGATTTGCATGTAACGTTGCTTTCTAAAAGTTTGTATTACCACAGTTCAAGTTCTTCACTCCACATACGCACATTTTAACAAATTATACCCATCTAATTGTTTAAGAACTATGTAGAAAAATGAATGTCATGCATATTTTTAACAAGTTTGAAGTAAGATGGAGCTTACTTTTCTATTTCTTGTCTGTTAGCTTCTTTTTCTTCTTAATTTAATTGAAGTGAATGCGTCAGATCCTGCAAATTATTTGTTAACTGTGTGATTTCTTCTTTCAACACAACTTCTTTTTTACTTAAATCTTCGGTATTTTTGATAGAATCCTTAAGGTTTGCTTGAAATTGCTTCAGCTTTTCTTCTAGCTTTAAGATGACAGATTCTTTTGCTGAAATGTCTTGCTCTAACTTGGCTACATTACTACATTCGTCTTTCTGAGTCTCTAGGATTGTTTCAAGTTCCTGTATTTTTGCTTTATAACAAATAACACCTTGTGTAAGTTCTGAAAGTGCTTTCTTTCCTTCAGCTACAAGCTGTACTTGAACACTAAGACTAACACTTTTCTCTTGCAGTTCTTCTTTCAGCTGCTGTATAAGATTTTCTTGATTCTCAATCTCTTTCTTGATGAGATTATCTTGATTCTCAATCTCGCTGTGCTTTACTTTTAGTACAATGTTGTCATCCTGATAACCTTTTATTTCTGCCTGTAATTTTTCAATTTGCTGTTGTAATTCCTGGATGTGCTGACTCTTTTTAGAGGAGGCCTTCACAATTTCCTTACATTCTTCCCAAATGGCCTCAATACTAGAGTGGAAAGAATTTGGCTCACTGAGTTCATGAATATGACATTCTTTAACCTGCTTATTCACCAAAAAATTATCACTTGCAAGGTGTAACTGTGTGTTAGGGAAATTCTTTTCCTGAGACTCTTTTGACTGAGTTCTAAGTTTGAGTAAATCTATGTTTGAGATCTGAGAAACTGAATCAAGTGAACGCAGTTCATTTATTTTTGTCTGCATTAATTTTATTTGTAAAACATTGCTTGTGATGTTTTTTGTAGCAACTTCTATCTCCTCTGACAATTTCATGATCTTTTCTTCCTGTTCCTGATTTACATTTTTCTGCACACTGAGTTCAGCATTTATGCTGTCATAATTTGCCTGCATTTGTTGGACTTCTCTACTTAAAGTTAAATTCACTATGATACCCATCCTGGTTAGATGGTTACCTGTTTTTGTAGTTTTACACTATCTACAAAGTTATGTTCCTATTAATACTGTTATGCATGGATATATTCAATTATATATCTGATGATATAGCCAATTCTATCAAAGATAACAAGGGACATCATAGTAATCATGGTAGAACTACTGTACAGAGGTTTACACATCTTTCGTTTTATGTGTCTGTAAGAATATGTTTTGTTCTGTCCTACTTTGTTTTCTTTCTCTTTAATACAGAAAGGATAGAAATACATGTTAAGACTCATGCATGTGCAGAACCTATAAAGAGTTTACAAAAACTGATCTTATGACACATGATGAAATGAAAAAACACTTTAAAGAAAAACAGACACTAGAGTACCACGTGCTGACCCCGGAGTGTCATCATGTGAAATCCAGCAATACTAGTATTCATCATTCACAGTGATTTTAGCTGGCTTTGGTTTGTTTAATCTCAACATAAATGAAGATATGGACAACTGCATGTATGTTTAAATGTACAGGATTGATAACCATGTGTTGCTAAGTTTTTGTTGGATAGTTGAACAGAACTATTTGCAGTCTCATTGTTTGAATTCCCATTTATATGTTCCACTTTGGTATCTTGAACAATTATTTGTAAGAGGACAATTTGTAAACATCGAGTGATTTATTACTGTTTATTTTTTCTTTGAAAGAATGTATTATTTCTACCCATTTGCTATTTTGTTTAATCTTTCCTTAAATAAAAATATTTTAAAAAATAAAATTTAAAACAAAGAAAGCGAAAGGGGGGCAATTGTCTAACAAGGGAAGGCAGTGGCCATTGTTTATCTTTTATCATGATTTGAAACCCATATTGTTTTCATCATTCTGTTTAGTTTGGTGATGTTGTGTCCCAGTTTGTCTTCTTGTATTAGATTTGATGGTATGCACAGCTATTCCAAAGACAGCAGGATTTATTATGGTAACCATTTTTTATTTCCTATTAACTTGATTTTGAATTCCTGTATTGCTTTCACTGTGTTGTTTTGCCTGATTTTACTATATTCTGTTTTGTTTGCTAGTATCAAGTCTGAGGATATAGACAACTACTTTGACAACAATAAGGTTCACTATGATACCCATTCGGCTTTAACTATTAACTTCTTTTAAAGTCCTATAATGTCTCCAATGATTCATATTTATTGGTTTTATTCTGTACTGTTTTGTTCAATTTCATGATACCTGATAATCTGGGCAATTCTTTTGAAGATAGCAAGAGGCATTATGGTAACCATTGTTGATAACACTGTATTCTGTTTTTATATCATGTACTATGTCCATCCTTTTGTTTTGACTGACTCTATTTTGTATTGCCACATTTGATTTTATTCTCTTCAAAAAAAGTAATAAGAACTGTGGGAGTAATAAAACCCAAAATGTGTAATTGTTATTATAAAAATGAGAGGAAAAGAAAGTGCTGTAAATTATATAACTGCATGCATGTTTAGGTACGTAAGATAGATAACCATATTACAAATTTTTGTTGGATTATTGAACAGAACTGTTTACAGTTTCACTATTTGAATGTCCACTCTGTATGCTTTAATTTTGTAACTTGAGCAACTATTTCTAAGATGACAATATGTAATCTATCAACTAATGATTTCTTACTGTTTATTTTTTTGAAATTCTGTATTATTTCTACCCTTTTATTTTCTGTTTTCAATTGTTTCCCTTTAAAAAAAAAAAGCAAGTTGATCATTGGCCATACAATGGTATGGTATGGTCCATCTCATTTGGGTAACACAGCTGTCGGGCTTGCTTGATGTGCTGGCTTTGGGTAGTGCATTCTTGGATCCTTAGTTCCTTAGTAGCTACTTGCATCTCAGGGATGCTTTCCCTGTGTGCTAACTCTTGTTGCTTTAGTTTTTCTTCAGACTCCTCTAAGTCAGTTACATCATTTAAGTTAAAATCTGTATGCTCACCCTCCAAAGATTGAACATGTGCTTCATATTATTGCCACATGAGAATTAACTTACCTCATGCTACAACTTTAGAGTCACTCAGTTCATCCTTTTTGGGGAGAGGTTCTTCGTTGGTTCATTTGAATCCCCTCCAGGCCAAAGCTTAGCCAGCTGTCAGTTACTGGTGGAGATAGCAACACTCACTGGTGCCTCTTCCCTGGGAGGCCTGGTGGTGCTTGTCTTTCTATTATCTATCTATCTATCTTACATCTATCAATTATATATCTGTCTGTGGTGGTTACATTCTCTTATTGCTGAGACATAATATATGGCATCCAAAATTCAGGAAAGAAACACTTATGAACTAAAGTTCATGGTTTGTGAAGGTGTCAGTCCATACTCAGCTGGCTCCAAGACAGGGTGTGATGGCAGAGGAGCAACAGTTCATGGTGGTAGAAGACAGCAAAAGTAGCATAAGCAGATGCACAGGAGGAGCACAGGGAAAAACTCTTTCTGTCATTTATATTGTATGTAGTCCACACACACTGTAGGGTGGGTGTAGCATTTATACTTATAATCCCAGCAATGCACCGTGAATCAATCACAGATTCTAGAAGCCTGCCCCCATGAATGTATGAGACTTTAGAGATACATCCAGACACAAACCATAACTCTATCTATCTATTTATCTATCTATCTGTCTATCTGTCTATCAATCTATCTACCTATCTATCTATCTTCCATGTTCTTATTTTTGTAGTAATGGGGATTGATTCCCAAATTCTTCATACAGCTGTGTCCCTAAATTTTAAAGAGTTTATGTTACTTCATTTTGCGCTCAAAGCTTGATAAATCATTAAGTTGTCTATGCTGGGCTGGACTATGATCTTCCTGAGTCAGTTTCCCATAGTCCTTCGGTTACAGCTGTGTGATACCATGCCAAGCTGAGCTTTACTTGTGATTTTTCCGGCCACCCTGTACCTTCTTCTTTTTGTATGAAGTTCACAATGCTTCATATTTTGGGGTGGAATTTTCTGGTCCCCCACAAGAATAGTGGTAATGGTTTGGATAGATCCATAATTATACAATGGAAATTATGCACCTCCTAAGTTATTTTTAAATTTATACATGCTGATTGTAAATAATTCAAAACAGAAGGTAAAATAGTCTGAAAGCTGCACCCTAAATTAATCACTAATATCATTGGACTCTAAAGAACAAGGGGGATATGTAGCACATTTGTTCTCTATTTTTAGCATAGTCCTATGGTCTGCAGGTGTGACTTGGGCTCTAAAGTCTAGAGCTCAGCTGAATCTCCAGAGAGCAACCTTCTAGTCCGGTCAGTGTCAGCTCCTTAACCATTTAGAATTCAGACTTCCAGACCACATGTGCCTTTTCCCTATTTTAGGTTCCCAAAGCCACCTGTTCAGAGACTTCGGGGGATCTTTAGTAGGAGTTAGCTGCCCATACTTCTGCCCCTGATGGCTTAGGTTTAGACCTCCTCTTGCTTGCTAAAAAGCTAGTATTCATACATCTCCACTGTTGCTTCCAAAATTGTTTTGCAGTTGTCTCCTTGCCACTTCTCTTTATTCTGCAGTTTGACTTTTAAAATTATCCCCTTCTTGTTTTAGAGGAATTATGAACGTAAGTGGAGGCAAATATCCATATTCAATCTTGGATGATTAGTAGAGGTATAGCATACAATTTTTGCACAGTATTTAAAGTTTAACCAGGTGTCTCAGAGTCCATAGGGAAAATAGCTAGATGTTTTGTACATGTGCGTTAGGGATAAGAAAGTGTGAGTGCTAAACTCAAATGCTTAATTGAGCTTTACTTTTATTCAATCATAAAACTAATCTTTCTAGTTCTTTTCCTCATATACTTTATAAATAGAATGTTTTCTTCAACACTGACATTAAATCCATTTCAAAACTACTACCTTTTCAGGAACAAATAGAACTTGCATTGCTTGTGCAGAGGATTGGACTGGCTGATGGCAAGTGCAGAACACTCAGTCCTCCCATGGGGGAGAGCGACTGGCCAGGAGCCCTTTTGGGGTCAGCCCAGGTAAGCCTGGAACCAGAACTGCAGCCTGCTTCCTCTAGCAGCTCCTACCTGGGTGAAGTTCAGCGGAAAATGCTTGGACGGAGCCCCACCCCTCCACACACTCCAGAGGCTGTCATGGAGGATCCTACCAATGACCGGGCCAATTTCACAGATGGTGGCCAACCTTTATTCTGCACAAACTCCGCTAGTCTTCAGGGAGGCAGCACAGGCTGAAAAAAGCAGCAGCCAGCCCTGCACCAGCACACTCAAGGCAACCATCAGATACCCTAGCAAGCACTGGCTAGAAGAACCACACAGTCTTGCTCCAGAGAAATCGTAGCCAATGCAGGAAATGCCTGGGACCCCACTACACAGTTGTCCAGAAGAATTCAGGAAAACGTCAAGATGAAGAAGCCAAAGTCAGTCTCTGGCCTCTGAACCAAGGAGAGCAAGTTCAGCAGACGTGAATAGACTGGAAGCCACACACCTGAAATTTCTGAAGTGATGGCAGTTGAAGCAAATAAACAATTTCATGTGGCTATAATAGAAATTAGAACAGAAATACTATCCAGGTAAAAGAAAAAATGAAAAACATAATAAACAAAGCACTTCTAAATAAGATACAGATAAAAAAATAAAGCAGCATAGAAAAACTGGAGACACTTGGAATGAAAAATTTAAAAAAGATTTAGAATACATGAAACAAATTCAAAGAGACATCCAGAAACTTAAAAACTCTATAGAAAGCTGGCAAACCATTTGAAAGAAACTGAAGACAGATTTTCAAACCTTGAAGACAGATTTGCAACTTGCAATTGCAAAAGGAAAGGTCTCTTAAAAATAACAAGAAACCAGGAAGCAACAATTAAATGGCTTCAAGACAATGTATATTGGCCATAACCATTAAGGTAGATGGCCTCAATTCACCAATGAAAAGAAACACAGGCAGAGTGATCTGGAGACAGGATCCATCAGTATGCTTTACAAAGAAACATATTTAACTCAAAAGGGGTC